AAAGATACACAGATGGCCAATAAATACATGAAATATGCTCAACAATATCAGTCTCTAGGGAGGTTAAAAACTGAAACCATGATATACCACATCACAGGTAGCTAGGTAGGCCACCCCTTAGAAAGGAAAATACACACTGCAAAGGATGTAGAAAAATTGGATTGCTTTTATATATTGCTTGTACAAAGTGAAATGGTACAGTTTCTATGGAAAACAGTTGGCCCTTCCTCAGTCAAAGTGGAATTCTCAAGTGATGCAGCAATCCTCTCCTTGGAAACACACATCCAGACATTTACACACAAATGTTTATACTCACAACAGCCAGAAACATGAAAACAAACCAAATATCCATCAAATGATGACTATATAAACCAAATGTGGTTCATGGCTCAACTATAAAATATAAAGAAGTCCCAACTCATATTACAGTGTAAACGAAACATAAAGTTCTTATGCTAAGCGAAAGAAGTTCACATGTGATACTTTCAGAGTAGATACATTCTTAGAGGAGAGGATCTTTAGTATTTCCAAGCACCATGGGAAGAGATAAGTGGGAACTAATAGCTTCATAAGTGTGGGTTTGCTTTGTGGAGTTGAGAACATCTCTTCTTCCTACAGAGGAGGAAGGGCACCACAGTATTGGAGAGGTACTAAGTAAGACCACTGAGCTGCCTGTTTCCATATTGCTTAATTTGCATTATATGACTATTATCTCAACTTAAAAATATATAATCTTTGGGGTATTGGTGGCACACGCCTTTAATCCCAGCACTCGGGAGGCAGAGGCAGACAGATCTCTGTGAGTTCAAGGCCAGCCTGGTCTACAAGAGCTAGTTCCAGGACAGCTTCCAAAGCCACAGAGAAACCCTGTCTCAAATCCCCTCCCCCGCAAAAAATATATATATAACCTACAACCATACTGCCCTGAGGATGCCCACTTACATTCCATCTGAGAAGCTACATGGGGTTGGAAGTAATAATACTCTCATATGCAGATATGAATAAATGTGTAAATGTACTTCTGCAAATTCACACAAATTTAGCAACGGAAAACTATTACAACTGCTAAACTCACAGCAGTTGAGTGTGTCCAGATTGGCTTATGTAGGATCTCTGGGGTTTCACAGATTAAATCCCAGATGCTAACCACACTTTTCTCTGGAGGCTCTGAAGAATCCACTCCAAGCTCTTTGAGGTGCTACATGGTGGTGGTGGTGGTGGTGGCGGCAGTTTTTTTGAGACAGGGTCTCACTATGTATTCTATCTGTCCTGTTAACCTTAAACTTAATCCTCCCACTTCATCTTACCAAGTGCTGGGATTACAGATGTGCGTTATTATACTTGGTCCTTTGAGGTTTTTAGAAGAATTCAGGTTCATGTGATTGTAGGGTTGAGGTCCCTGCTTCCTTGCTGTTAGCCAGGAGCCAGACTCTCTTGCCCCAGGCTACCCACATGCCTTGGTTCACAGGCAGTGAAAGACCTGGAGAGTGTGGACCTTCATGCTCCCACTCAGGAATGGTGACACCCCAAATCACTTACGAGAAGCAGTCTTGATGCAAATAGCATGAGGAATTTTTATTCCAAGTGCACTGGGATCCACAGCCACACAGGGGTAGAGGACTGAGGACTCAGAGGGCAGAATTGAGACAGCTTTTATAGGATCCACATCAAAGCTAATAAGGCCAGATTTAAAACTAGTCTGTTATTTTCACTAGGACTAAAAGCAAGGTAAGCAAGGTCATGGGACAGTTTATAACTTGGATGGTTAATAAGGTTTCCAAGGTTACAGAGATTTCATAGAGTACACAGTTTTTACAAGGCGGGATTTTTTAGTGTACCTGCAAAATCAGGGGGTTTTTCTTTCTTTAGGACCTGAGGGCTCAGTGGCCTTGTCCCTAAGATAATGGGGTACAGGGAGAATATACTCTCCAGTCAGGGAGTTATCTATATCTATTGGCAGAAGCTCTTGTTCTTTCTGGTTTTCCCTTCTTGCCATGAGTCCCGTATCTTTTAGTTATTAATTTTCTTTGTGGGCAGGATGACCCATAACAATTCCCAGACTGTTGTTGAGAATAACAACATTCCTCAAAAACTAGGTGGTTATGAATAATAATAATAATTTCCAGAAACCTGTCATGGTCATCCTGACCAGACCATTTCATGTTTCCCCTTTTCTCTGAGCTTTACGTGTGGCTAGGGTGGTTTTCAAATACATGCTTGTGGGTGTTTTTAAACTTCTAACTTCCAATGGTCATGGGAAAGCTAGGCTATATATTTTTATCCTTTCAGCAGCAGAAAGCCAAACCCTTCTCAGCCATCAAATGAATTTGACTTCCTGTTCTGCTACCATGGAAAGAAAATGGTCTGCTTACAAAGGGTGCCTGTGTTGTGGGATAATCTTTTTGTATGCTGTGAAGATGTGTCTCTTTGTAAGGCACCTTCTGATTGGTCTAATAAAGAGTTGAATGGCCAATAGCTAAATAGGAGAGGATAGGCAGGACTTCTGAAGAGAGAAAATAGGGAAGAATCTGAGGCTGGGGGTGGGGATTAAGTCAGCAAGACAAGGGAGGAGTTGGACAGAGTATGGAGGAGAGGTAAAGAGTCATGTGGCAGAATATAGATTAATATAAACAGGTTAATTTAAATTATAATAGTTAGTTGGGCACAAGTCTAAACTAAAGCCAAACATTCATAATTAATAAGAAGTCTCGGTGTCATTATTTGGGAACTGGAGGTCCAAAGAAAGACCGACTACACCTGTGATTGGGCTAACTAGATTATTTTTGTCATAAAATGTCATGCAATCACAGGAGTATCACCAAACTCACAGCTTTCATGCTACACTAAAATGGATAGATATTATATAAGGTCATTTTGAATCACTGTTAGAATTTTGCATCTTTCAAAAAAAAAAGTCATTTTTCTACCCAATTCAAGAAAAACTGTAGGTCCACAGCCACACTCATTGCAAAGAAGATTGGAAGAACTTCAATATTCCATCCATAGCAAGGAAAGTGATACATAGATTCAGTAGGTTCCTACCAAGCCTCAAGGAAAAGATAAAAAGCAGACCTTAGTAGACAGACATCTCAATGTGAGGCCTGTGATGGCTTATTGGTTTATTTTTCTTCCTTTTTCTCTACTGAAACACTGTATATACACACAAAGCAGTCACCGGAACTATCCCTGCGTTCTTTCGGTAGTTGTGAAGAGAAACTGATATTATAGTGAGAATTTAGGTGACTATATATTTTGATAGACAAGAAGTTCTCATACTTTTTGGTTTCAGAGTCCTAGTTATTGAGAGCTTTTGATTTTTGGTGGGTTAGAACTACTGATAATAACAGACAGTAGAAATTTTAAACATAACACACAAGCACTCAGCCGGGCATGGTGGTGCATGCTTTTAGTCCCAGCAATTGAGAGGCAGAGGCAGGCAGATCTCTGTGAGTTAGGGGCCAGCCTGGTCTACAGAGTGAGTTCCAGGACAGGCTCCAAAGCTATACAGAGAAACCCTGTCTTGAAAAACCAAAATAAACAAACAAATAAAAACAATATACAAGCACACATCCTTTTAGCCTACAAACTGATGGTGACATTATCACACATTATACTTTGGAGTGCAAAAAAGAATGAAGTCTTCAGACCATCCCTTGAAAGATGTCAACACCTTGCTTTTTGGGGGGAGGGGGTTCTAGACAGGGTTTCACTGTATAGTTTTGGAGCCTGTCCTGGAACTCGCTCTGTAGACCATGCTGGCCTTGAAATCACAGAGATCCACCTTCCTCTTCTGCCTCTGAGTGCTGAGATTGAAGGCGTGTGGGCTAACAACTTGCAATTTTGCAAATTGATCCACTCATCATTTTGGTGTAGTCATTCAGGTACAGCTTTATCTGGTGTGAGGTTAGAACAGAGTCAGCCTGTGAACCTAGCAAAAACTCATACAGAGGGCGATGAAAAGAAAGCCTTGGGGAGCTCCATCATGTTTCGCTCTTAAAAACAAACCGCTTTTATTGCCTCGTTATTTTCTGTTTTGGTGAGGCAATGTTGTGATTGCTTTAGGGATTCTGGGTTTTCCATTTTCCTTTTAACTAGAGCGAGTAAGCGGGCAGCAGGGGTGCAGAGGAAGTGAGTAGACTGGGTAAGATATTTTTCTTGAAATGATGAGGTGGGAGATTGGTTAAGAAACCTTCCAGTGTGGAGGTGGGGGCGGGCTACTTTTACCTTTGCAACCTGTGGGAATTTCATGAGCTGCGCGCTTCCTGGAACTTAAGAGCCTATTTTAGGGCCCTGGCCTTTAGGGAGATTTCCTTTACATAGGCTATACGGTAGTTAATCTCTGTATCCTGCGAACAAAAATAGTGACAAAGTAAAGCAAACCTTCGCTGACCAGCTCGTTCATTCTCGTTTTCTTTCAGTCTGTAATAAAACAACAACACAACAGAGCCCAGCTCTCGTGCTTGAGTCTCTCCACGGGATTGCACTTTCCCGCCTCAAGGTTAAAGGTGTGCAGTCCAGTGTCACTGTGTCTCCCGGGAGGATGACGGGCTAAGACACCCGAGGGCTGGCGGGTAAGATTAGGTAGGCTCGCGGTGCGGAAGCGCACATCCGGGGACCTCGCTCTAGGGAGCGTTCCCGACTCATGATCAGAAAACGCAGGTGACCGAGCGGGCGGCGGCGGGGGTGGGGGTGGGGGGCTGGCACGTGGGATCCTCGCCACAGCGTCCAGACACGAGCCCCACCTGTCGGGCGTCCCAGAGACCCTCACGTCCGAGTGCTGGCGCACAGCCCGGGCCGCCGGAAGCAGGGACGTGGGCTGCGATTGGCTGAGATCAGGGAGGCGGTTCCAGGGGGCGTGGCTCGTGTGCGCCCTGCGGCGGGCTGGGCGGCCCTGGCTGGGGGTAGAGCGAGGCAAGGGCGTCTGGCGGGAGGCGGCCGGGGCTCGCAGCAGCCTGACCCTGGCGCCGGGCGGTTTCGGGAGCGGTGACAGGTCCCCGCGCGGGGCCGCGGCTGGAGCGAGCTCCATTTGGCCGAGAGGGAGAAGGGGCCCAGTTCGGCGTCCAGCCCCTCGAGCCCAGGATGGATGTGCCGGCCCGGGTGTCCCGACGAGCGGCGGCGGCGGCGGCCACTATGCTTCTGCGGACGGCCCGCGTCCCTCGAGAGTGCTGGTTCCTGCCGACCGCGCTGCTCTGCGCCTACGGCTTCTTCGCTAATCTCCGGCCGTCCGAGCCCTTCCTCACGCCCTACCTGCTGGGGCAGGACAAGAACCTGACCCAGAGAGAGGTAGGCGCGGCTGGCGGGAGGGTGGGCTGGAAGCGTGTCTGCGGCGGGCCTGCGGCGAAGCACTGGTGCAGGCTACGCAGATAGCTGATCCTTTTGCTGCTGGCTTGGAAAAGCACTTCGCGCTCCGCTTTGCTTTACTCTGGAGTTTATAGCACTGATAGACCGTGCGGGACTAAACAGGAGGGGGCGCAGCCCGCGTGCACGTTTGTTTCTGGACAAACGTGAATGGTGCTGTATGTTTGGTGGCATAACCTGGCTCTGCCCAGATACATCCTGCAGGAGCTGCTGGGGACAAGGGACAGTGAACGGATTTAAAAAAAAAAAGAAAAGAAAGCAAGGAAGGAAACAGTAAGCTCTATTTTGGATAGAATATATACATCATAACACATGTACATATGTGTGTAATCACATGTATGTTTACATACATACGAGTGTGTATATTGTATACATATATATACACATACACTCGTGTGTATGTAAGGTGACGCTGCTTTTGTGGAAAGGTTCCCGTTTTCCCTCCTCTCCTTGACTTTACCTTTGACAAGGTTGATATTCTCTATCCCACAAGGACAGTCTAGGACAGTAGTAGGCCATCTATATTTGGCTCGTTTTAATTAGGTGAGATTTAGCTCAGAGATATCCTTGCCCCCTCTGAAAGTCCATCTCTGGGATGAAAACAAATGGTATCACATGATTGGGACTTAGTGTTTCTTGTAATGTGAACTGTTGCTTCGCCTACAGGTTTTGTTCCTTACCTACATGTGGAGGTTTTGTGGGCTTTAATGAACATGGGCCATGATCAACAACTCCTGTGCACTCATTTACTCAAGTAAAGGACTTGTAAGCATAGCACCCCAGAAGTGCATAGTGGGCTTTTAGAATTGCCTACATCTTATTACTAAAACACATCGTCCCAGCACTTGGTTTTGGCAGAAGAGAATATAGACTGAGAAAGAAATGAAACCAGTTCGACCCCAGTACTCTTTCCTCGAGTACCAAGAAGGGTGAGAGTTTAGGGCTGATGTCTTTCTCTGCTGTCAGCTGAATGGACACTGGATAGTTGTCACCCTTTTCCTACACCTCTTTCCTTCCTTACCAGCCTGCTTCCCTGCCTGAGTTGCTGTAAAAACATTACTCACATTTAAATCTTCCTGGCATTGCCAGTCATCTCTTCTGAGGTGCAGTTAACTCTGTAAGTCAGCATGGCAGGTCAGAGCAAGAGGTGGCACTGCCAGAGTCGTTTGGACCGGCAAGGTGTAGTGCCTTTGCTGATGCTGTGTGGCTTTATTCAAGGTCAGGAGAAAGAGTTGAGAGACAGTGTTGATTGCCAGCTTCTTTGACAGTTAGCAAAGTGCAGCAGACTTCTACACAAATGTTAAATCGTGTGTCCTAGTCTTGTGCCTCACGTCATAGTTACTCATTATCCATAAGTATTTGGTACCAGCCAAAGGAAAAGACAAAGACTTCTGATCAGAATGATTTTTCCAAAAAGAAAATTGCTACATAGTTATAAGAAAGTGTGATTCTGAAGATCCAGAGCAACTGCTGAACCTGAGGTGCACACACCAAAGCATATGAGTAGATGAAAGTTACATACCAACTGCGGTGTGGTCTGCATAGTGTGCATTAGCCTGACAGCAGCATCTGAGGTGAACCACACTCTTGCTTTTGATATTTGAAAGCTGGTCTGTTTTGTCACAGGCCCTGGACTGAGAGCTGCTGTGTACTGTCATGGTCACATGCTCTCTGCCTTAGCAGAAGGTCTTACATATGTTTAGGGAGGTATAGGAGCATGTCAGGGTGCTGGGCCCAGTAACTACTTGCCTATTATATAACAACAATGAGGATGCTTCTCAGAGCAAATTAGTCAAGGCAAGGAGATTTGAAGAGAAATCCATGGGTCTGCTGTGTGGGACCTTGGAATAATGGCTAATGCTATTGGTTATTCCAGTGTTGCCTTTCTTTCCCTGTGGCGAATCCTACATTAAAAACAAAAACCTAGCAGCTGAAATAGAACCACTGTTCTCATTAATGAGTGCTTGCTTTCAGCAATGGGCGTTGCAAGATTTTAATCAAAGTTAATTCCAGGTTATAATCAGTAATATTTGTATTGAAGTGTGTAGTTTCTCCTTGAAGACTTCGAAAGTGCCAGACTGGATCATCTTAAATGGTGCTAAGATCACCCTAGACCCAAGGGCAGAATTTCCTCTTTTCATTTCCATTTTAAAGATTTTTAAATAGAATTTTAGGAAAGATATTATAAAGTTACCACTTTAAAAGTTGAGGTAGGTTATAATTGGACTATATCCCAGTCGTTGAAAAACCAAACATTAATAAGAGCTAGCTAGCTATTGATTGATTGACTGATTGGTGATGCTAGGGACTGAATCCAGGGCTCCTTCTGCATGCTGTGTAAGCACTGTACCACTGAGCTACATTTCCAGACTTTTATTTTTTCTTAAATTTGCATTATATGCATGTCTGTTTGAGTGTTCGTGATATACGTAGGAGCCCATGGCTGAAGTTACAGGTTGATATGAACCAGCTGGCATGGTGCTGAGAAACAAACTCCAGTCCTCTGGGAGAGCAGCAGGTTCTCCTAACCATTTTCTGGGGATGCTTTCCTTAAGTTGATCAGAGTATCCCTGCACTTGTAATCCTCATGCCTCAGCCTATCAGGTGGCTAGGATTATAAGCATTTACCACCATACCCAACAGAACTCTTTGTCTCTAAGAAGTGACTATCTTTTCTTGGTAGCACGTGGTTTTGATGTTTACTGCTTTCCTTGGGCTTTCAAAACCATTCCACGCATTCTGCTTGATACTCTGAGCCTGGTAGATTCCTTCGCCCCTTTTGTACACCCAGGCTTCATTCATTTGCCAATCCTAACTCTAGCAAATTTACTAATTCATGTATGGTCCAATACACAAATGCATGATCTCTGCTTGGAATAATTTGTGTGTGTGTGTGTGTGTGTGTGTGTGTGTGTGTGTGTGTGTGTGTGTGTTTGTCTTCCTTATGAGACAGGGTTTCCCTGTGTAGCCCTACCTATCCTGGAACTTGCTTTGTAAACCAGGTTGGTCTTAAACTCACAGAGATCCTGCCTGCCTCCACCTCCTTGCTGGGATCAAAGGTGTGCACCACCACTGCCTGGCTTAAAATATCTATTAAAGGAATATTTTTTGGTGTTAGGACTTTTCTACCAGAAATGTTTAAAAAGAATGTTCTTTGGGACCCAGTCCTGGAGACTGTGGTCTTTACCTCTTGAGGAATCCCTGTCATGGTATATCCACAGGGATAGTAAACTCCTGAAGGCACTAGAAGTAAATTTAAGACATTCAGAATTGACACCAGTTTTCTAAATGAAGAAAGTAGATGTTTTGGTGTAGTAGATTGGGGGTATCTGATTCAGATCTTTTCTCTGCCAATCCTGGCTGTGGTAGCTTTGGATAATTCAGCATTCTCTAACACCGAGTTTCCTTCTTATAAAATATCAGTGCTAAAACATTTACTTCTTAGAATTGTTTGGATTAACTGGAAATAATTGGGGTAAAGTTCACAGAATGGTATGTAGGATACTCTGAGAGGCGTGGCTGTGGTGCTGACCATGAGAGAGAAGACTTTTTCTTGTTTGATGTTCATTGTAGGAGAAAAACAGGTCTCTTAATTAGAGGGAATTAAAGAGAACCCATCTGGTCTCCATGTTCCACCCGACCCACCCCTTAACCATATTTAGTGGATATCACAAGGCTGGTAGTATTACTTTCCCTTATCTTCAATTATCTAAATTGAGGGTTTATGTTGGTATAATGTTAACCCCATAAGTGTTATTTATTTATTTTGAAACAAGGTCTTACTATGTTACCAAACTGGCCTTGAACTAGTTAATGTTCCTCCTGCCTCAGTCTACAGGCATGCACCACCACACCCTTTAAATTGGTAAAGGAGAGGACTTACACAATGAAACTTTGGCAATTAATCACTTACGGACAGCTACTGCTGCAAAGTTACATGTCTAGACATAAACAGTATTACTAGAGTGAACAGTTGAGCAAAACTTGAGTATAAAAGAAAGTGGGATGCTGAAGGAAGCAATAGAGAACATTTTTTAAACTTTTTATTGGCATAGTAATTGTATATATTCATGTATTAATTTCAATACATGCATACATGATAGAGGGATTAGAACAACTGGCATTCACCTCTCCACCACTTCCTTGTATTTGGAGCCCTTGAGCTATTCCTGTTTGGTTATTCATAAACTATATATATATAAAATCAGTTGTTGGCTACACTCATTCCAGAGCATAGTGGAATGACTGTCTCAGCTGTTACCTATACACACTCCATCTGTCTTCAGCTACAGCTTGAAGTAATCACTGTTCTGTATTTATTTTGGCTTGTTTTGGCTTCCATGTATGAGAGTAAACATGTAGCATTTATTTGTCTTTCTGTGCCTAGACGAATTAACCTAAATTATATCTTCTGGTTCCACTGGCCGTTGCTGCAGGTGACGGTTTCATTCTTCTGTATGGTCCAGTAATAGCTCATTGTGCACCTGTGAAGAATACTTTTCAAGGAGAGGATTGTTGGCCTATAGCTTCGAGGTAGGGAAAGAGGCATTAAGGGACCTGTGAAGCACAGAAACATGCTGAGTCATTCAGGAGACAGTCAAACCTTAGAGACTAAGGGAAGCACAGGGTATCTGGAAGTACAGGGTAAAGGGGAGCTGGGAGGTGCTCATTGGAAGGCAGCTTGCTTCACCTCATATCTTTCTCTCAAGGTTCCCTTCCTAAAGGACACAAAGACATTTTGTTTCTCATTTGTTACAATTTGTGTACTTTGACAAAGAATCCCTTGTACAGTTCTTAATTATGACTCCTGCAAATTTCAAGGCCACTCTGGTCTGCATAGCAAGTTCCAGATCAGTCATGACAACTGCATAGCTAGGACCCCCATTCCAAAAGTTCAAAGCAACATCAACAAAACAGAAACACCAAAGACTGATTGGCTTAGCCCTTTAGGACATGTAAAAGGACATTTTCAGTGATTATTGTTATCTGGAGAATAAGTTTCACAGTCTAACTGGTTCTGGTTCATATTGTCCAATAGCCTATTTTCAATTCAGTCTTTTCATTTTCAGACCACAAAAGTAGAGTAAATAAGTGATTATGCACGTAATCCTTCATTTAATCCTTGCAACCAACTATAGTATAGGTTTTATCCTCTTGTACTGATGATAAAGATGAATTCTAAGGGGAACCGAGAAACTTACCTATCCACAGCCCCTAGTTACAATTACTAAGCTTACCTTTTTCAACTTTATGATACTAATTAGAACCCATTCAGTGTGTTGTATTCTGGATTTTGATTTTGACCTTTTCCTGTACTAGCAATGACATTTTATTATAATGCCAGCCAGTAGCAGTGAGTCACAGTTCCTTTTCAGCCATTCATTCATGAAGGAAAATAACCAATACTGTACAGAGTTCTGTGCTGCAAATGATGAGGTTCTGCAGGGTGTGTATATTAAATATGTTTTGTGTGTGTGTGTGTGTGTGTGTGTGTGTGTGTGTGTGTGTGTGTGTGTGGTGGTGGTGGTGGTAATGTTTTCAGGAATAAGGGAGGGATGGGACATTTAGCCTGAGGTAATCTCTCACAGAACCTGCAGCTCACCAATGTGGCTAAGTTAGCTAGATAGCCAGCAAGCCCCAGCGAACCTGTCTCTTTCTAGCCAGGGCTAAGAGTACACACATGTGTCTCTGTACCCAGGCTTTTACATGGGTTTTGGGGATCTGAATCCGGGTCCCCATGGCTTGCATGGCAAGCACTTTACCAACTGAACTGTCTCCCCAACCCAAATAGTTTTTATTTATGTTCAACTGATAATTTATTAGCACTTACCCATTCTGAGTTGAAGAACAGCTCTTATTTATACAAATAATGGAACTGAAATTCCAGACTCAGTCCTTCTTGTTTAAAACATATTTTAAAGGTTATTTTTATAGAATCCCAATTTAATATTGTGCATGCAAAAGAAAATAGCAATAAGTTCCAGTTAACCTTATGTCATATAAATCAAAATAGCTACAGTGAGGATTCTGTGGTCCTGTTATAAAGAAATGATAAATGTTTGAGATAATAAAATAGCCTAAATACCCTGAGCTGGGTATTGCATAGTGTATACATGTACCAAGATATGCTGTATCTCATAACTATGTACACTATGTAAATTATTGTTTGATTTAGGAAAAGAAAAATAAAACACCAAAATTTTACATTTTATTTCACGTTACAAATGAGTAGGAAGGACACATGTTGCTTATAATTCTAACACGAAGGAGAGTTATCCCATCAAGGCATAGGACAGATATACAATTTTCTTCTGTTCCCCAAAGAACACTTAAAATCAAAAAAGCATCATTCCACCTGATATTACAGGGGTGGCCCATGATATATTGCTCATGCCTCAGTGAATGGCTCTATACCCATACCACTACACATATAAGCAGTACTAGTTGGTCCCTGGGTTATGGAAGAGTAGGAAATGGTAATGAAGTTGGTGGGGGTAGTGTCAGAGGAGTTGGAAGAGAGGGATAGTAGATTATCATCTAAAATACTTTGTATATATGTATGGAATTACAAAAGATTAGTAATAATACATTTAACAGCTAAGAGCTGGCAATGATTTCATTTCCAAAACATTTATTGGTCTTCCAGACAGTATGCTGGCTGTTAAGTTATACAGATGGATGCTGGGTCTACCTCTCAGATCCCTTAAAGGAAGTGGGCATGAGTGAGAGAAAATACCCATCACCCCAGCACTTGGGAGGCTGAAGCAGGAGGATCTAAAGTCCCAGACTAGTTTGATCTACATAGTGCATTTGAACCTAGCTTAGTATGGCCTACATACTAAGACTCTTCATGAGCCTGGTGTTGGTGGTGTATACCTTTAATTCCAGTACTCGGGAGACAGAGGCAGGTGGATGTCTGTGAGTTCAAGGCCAGCCTGGTCTACAAAGTGAGTTCCAGGACAGGCTCCAAAACAAAACAGAGAAAACCTGTCTCAGAAAACAAAAACAAAAAACAAAACAAAAAAACTCGATGGAAAGAATTTTATTATGAAAAATAAATAATGAGAAATAATGGGGTAAAAGGGTAGGAAAGGCTACTGTTCCTTTGGTTGATAAGGGAATATTGGTAGGCTGATTTGTCAGTGAATTTTATGGCTTGTGGGGTCTTTTGGTCACTGACGAGCTTTTATTCTCTTCTTCCCAGGTCTTCAATGAAATTTACCCAGTCTGGACATACTCTTATTTGGTGCTGCTGTTTCCTGTGTTCCTTGCCACAGACTACCTCCGTTACAAGCCTGTCATTCTGCTTCAGGGACTCAGCCTTATTGTTACATGGTTCATGCTGCTCTATGCCCAAGGACTGCTGGCCATTCAGTTCTTGGAATTCTTCTATGGCATTGCCACAGCCACTGAAATCGCCTATTACTCCTATATCTATAGTGTGGTCGACCTGGGCATGTACCAGAAAGTGACAAGTTACTGTAGAAGTGCCACCTTGGTGGGCTTCACAGTGGGCTCTGTCTTAGGGCAAATCCTTGTGTCAGTGGCAGGCTGGTCACTGTTCAACTTGAACGTCATCTCCCTTACCTGCGTTTCTGTTGCTTTTGCTGTGGCCTGGTTTCTGCCCATGCCACAGAAAAGCCTCTTCTTTCACCACATTCCTGCCTCCTGTCACGGAGTGAATGGCATCAAGGTACAAAATGGTGGAATCGTTACTGATACCCCAGCATCTAACCACCTTCCTGGATGGGAGGACATTGAGTCAAAAATTCCTCTAAATTTAGATGAACCTCCCGTGGAGGAGCCGGTGAGTTTAGCCTTAAATTCGCAGTTGCTGTTCTGGGCTTTGCTAATGGTAGTGAAATAGACAGGCAAGCCCATTTCATTGGTTCATTCACTCAATTAAGATGCAACTGATTTATGTAAGGGATAATCAGTTTATTCCCCCTAGAGTGCCTGATCGTCCATGTCAGACTGACCCAGCATTATGTGTCATGGAAAATCTAGATGTCTTGGGGCTGTGTCTTCATTTTTGTACCCCTCCTGCTTGGTATATATTAAGAAAGCACTCAGAAAATGTGTTTAAAGAGTATTTGAAATGATTCAATTGGCGATTTGTGTCTACTTGTAGCTTCTGAATTGAAGCTCTTAAATATTTAAAAATACAAAATAATTTTCCTTTTCTATGCTACAAGTAATATATATTTATTTTTTCAAATGATGCTTTGCTGTTTTGTTGTCGAAGTAAATGGATGCTAGGAAGGGAATAACAGAAAAATTCAAGTAATGATTATACAGCTCTTTCTCAGAAGACAGGTCCAACACTTAGTGCACCCCACCCACTCTTTGTAACCAAAAAGATGAATTAACTCCCAGGCTTATATTAACATGAGAGGTAGAGGTGTGTGTGTATGTGTGTGACTTTACAGTAGAAACTTTGGATAGTTAATAATTTGCCCAAGGTCATGTTATTGCAAATAGTGAAGTCAGGATTAAACTCCTAGTAGCTTCAGAGCTCCTGTCCTTGATAATACATTCTGTTTTTCTTTTCAAATATATGCATTTTACTTGAGTGAAAAAAGCAGTTGGTTTTTTACAAAAAAAGAAAAAAAGGAAAAAAAAAAATGTCTCCTGAGATAGAAAACTAAGCTTGTATAATTGCCTACACAGTTACTACCATGGTGTTTGAGCTGTTTCCATTCCCTCTGTAGGAGACCAAGCCAGACCGGCTGCGTGTGCTGAAGGTCCTGTGGAATGACTTCTTGATCTGTTACTCTTCTCGCCCTCTGCTCTGCTGGTCCGTGTGGTGGGCCCTCTCCACCTGCGGCTATTTTCAAGTGGTGAACTATGCCCAGGGATTGTGGGAGAAGGTGATGCCTTCTCAAAATGCCATTATTTACAATGGCGGTGTGGAAGCCGTGTCAACCTTGCTGGGTAAGCAGTGAGGAAGTGTGGGGAGAGTCCACAGGAAGTTAAGCCAACCATGAGTAGGTTTACTCACTCCTCCCAAATTTAAGTAGCCCAAAGGAAGGGTTCATTTTGGGCTCTGATTTTATGATTTAGGAGAAATCAAGTGGTAGAAGCTTATGACTGACAAACACATTTTGAGAAATGGAATGTACTAGTTTTCAGATAGTTTTCTTTGCTTACTAATGTTCCACTTACACGTTTACAGAGATTTTGAGTAGCAGTATATTATGGTTTATGAAAATAGCTAGTGTCTGTTGAGTGTTAACATGTACTGAACACTGTCCTGTAGATAACATGTATATTTGTTATATTCCCAAATTCTTGAGATGGTTGCAGTTATTTGTCATTTGACGCTGGAAATTTTAGACCTGTTAATAATTTGCCTGAGACCATATAAGTGGTAGGTAGTGACATAAAGATTGGAACTCGGACACAGTGGCTTCAGAGTCCATGCATGTCTTTGATAACACGTTCAGTTGTCCTTTTCCCATTTGTTGCCCTAATTCATAATAAGGTTGTAGGAAAATCCTACACAACAGCTATAGGCCTGGCTTTACTAATTATGCTGGCACCCAGAAAGCATGCCTGTATGTTTTGTAGCTTTCATCATCATCATCCTTTCACTAAAGGGAGGGGAAACAGTTTTGCATATACAGATTGCTTCTTGGTCTGAAAGACCAAGACTCAGCCAGCAGCCATGTTGTTAAACCAGATGCAGCGATTTTCTGTGACTCTAGCCTGTGCATTAGGCCAAGCTGTTACTTACTTAGCAATATTTCTGGGTCTGTGTCCGTTTTCATCCAATTGCCACATACACTAATTCAGTCTCCTCTCAGTGGTACAATGCTATTCCACCAAGTTCAAAATTCTCTGCTTGAGCTTCAGGAACTCCGTATTCTCGAGCTACCTAATTTATAAGTTTAAAGATTTTAAAATAAAATAATTAAATTTTAATGTGTTGAACTAGAGTTTGTTTAGTCAATAATTAGATTACTTTTTTGTTTGTTTTATAGGTGCAAGTGCTGTATTTGCAGTTGGTTATATAAAAATATCTTGGTCAACTTGGGGAGAAATGACGTTATTCCTGTGTTCTCTCCTGATTGCTGCTGCAGTATATACCATGGACACTGGGAAGGACATTTGGGTGTGCTATGCATCCTATGTTGTCTTCAGAATCATCTACATGGTACTCATCACCATAGCAACGTATGTATTTTAACTGAAAGAAGTGTTAGGAAAAGTTATGGAGAGATAAATGTGGGTTTCTTTATAAACCAAAAAAGGGACAAACGAGAGGAAGCATTGTATTGTAGTTATTGAACATTTTCCCCCCCTTAGGAGTATTTAGGCAAGATTTGTTCTCTTGTATTTTTATCCTACTATTTTCCTAAGATTTGTATCTTATAGTAACAAAATATGTTTCACATTATTGGAAAGGTAATTAGCAGTGGAAAGAAGGGGTTGTGTTCACATTTAAAGTAAAAATGTGTAACCATTCAGAAAGTGGTAATTTTACTCAAATTGTTTTTCTGTTTAAAAAGTTTTCAGATTGCTGCAAACCTCAGCATGGAACGTTACGCCCTTGTGTTTGGTGTAAACACCTTCATTGCCCTGGCGTTGCAGACCCTGCTCACTCTAATTGTGGTAGATGCTAAGGGCCTTGGCTTAGACATTACCACACAGGTAAGATATCTTCATTGACATTGTAAACAGTCTGAAATGGCAGGAATTTATAGAAACAAATTCCAACACTCTGGGCAGATCCAACAGAAGCATTCCCTCCTCCTTTCAGCCACTATTCTTTTCTGTGGAGGATGCTGAGATCATTATTTTTGATGAGGGCCTAAAGTGATGGTTTTCAGCATGTGCGTCTCCACCGCTTTGAGGCAAATGGCCTTTTCACAGGGGTCAAATTATCAGATATTTACACTATGATTCATAATAGTGGGATGATTACAGTTATGAAATAGCAATGAAAATGATTTTCTGGTTAGAGGTATCACAACATGGGAAACTGTATTAAAGGGTCACAGCATTAGGAAGGATGAGAACCACTGACCTAGAGCAATTAACCGGGAGGAGCTGTTTCAGCTGACAGTTAATATTGATTCCCAGGCTCAGCCTTTTTACCCCCTCATCCATTTTCCACTCTTTTCTGTCTTTTCCTCTCCCTTTTGTGGTAAAAGAACTTGGGGCCTCCAACATGCTAAGCAGATGCTCTTCTGCTGATCTAGAGTGACTGGCTTCTTCTTCTGTTTTATGTGTGGGGTTTTGCCTGTATGTAGTGTCTGTGTACCACATGTGTACATGGTGCCTTGAAGCCAGAAGAGGATGTTTGGTTCCTAGAGCTAGAGATACAGTTGGTTGTAATCTACTCTGTGGATACTGGTCTTGAAATCAGGTCCTCTGGAAGAGCAGCCAGTGCTCTTCATTGCTGAGCCATCTCTCCAGCCCTCATTCTTTGTTTTTGTTTTTATTTTTCTATACAGGGTTTCTCTGTGGCTTTGGAGCCTGGAGCCTGTCCTGGAACTAGCTCTTGTAGATCAGGCTGGTCTTGAACTCACAGAGATCCGCCTGCCTCTGCCTCCCAAGTGCTGGGACTAAGCATGTGCGCCACCACCGCCCAGGTCAGCCCCTCATTCTTAATCATTACACCAGATGTGCAGTATGAGATGTCCTGCTTCATGGTTCCTCAGAGCTGTCTAAGAACCAACCTTCACCCACATACCAATACCAAGTTAATAACTCACCATTGATAAGTGTTATGATTCTCAACATGTGACCTATTGAGAGAACATTTATGCAAAAACTCAAACAATGGCAATTTCATCCATTCTGGAATTGTTGAAAATGGCCTTATATACTATAATTTTACAGTGTAGATAGAATCAGAAAATGCTTGTCTCTACATTCAGCCAAGTGATCCTTTACCTTCTTCCTGAATTTCCATTATTACTCAATACTTAATGCTTACACATGAACTTTCCTAGATACCAGACTTAATATGTTAATAAATTTTGTTTTCATTAAGCAATCTACAAGAGGAATAAAACTTGTAAGTACAGTTACTGAGTTCTTCTCTCTCTTAGTTCTATTAGACTAGAAAGTTGTCAGTATTAGGTATCAAGTAAATGAGTCTGGGAGGTATTAAGAGATTTGCCTAATATCACACAGTCAAGAGCAGTGTGGTAGAGAAGATTTAAGTCAGCATTTAGCCTCAAAGCTATTCATGGGTCAAACAGAGATTCATCTGCTATTTTGTGAGGAAGATTTCCAGACCATTACAGTTGAATAAATATGAGTGATACTTGGAGCAGAAATTTAAGAGCACATTATAAGGACAGTGGCTTACTTAAGAGTAGAAGAATAACATTTTGTGGACTGTGCTGAAACTGCTCACCCTGAGTCATTAACGCTTTTCCTATCAAAATACAGTCAAGTTTTAAAGAACCCGACTCAGACTCAGGGCCAGACTGTTGTACCTGAACCTGTTTGCAAATATTTAATAAGTTATTTTTAAGAAAAAAATAATAATGAAGATGTTGATACACACACTACACTGCCCCTCCCCCCCAAAAAAATTAAGAGTCTTCTAAAAAGTCTATAGTGGAATAATTTTGACCTTCTAGTGCCCTCTCCTGGTGGGGAATAAAAGCTCTTTGGCATACCAACTGATCATTTTGAGGATACAGATCATGATTCCCTTAAGAACAACAACAGCACTAACAACGACAAAATAGTTAGTGTCTGTGGCATTGACATTGTGCTAGTAACCTTATGTACATGACCTTGTTCGAGTCTTCCAATAAGCCCTGGAAAATAGGAATTGTTTAAAGTTCCACTTTGTTAATTAGACCAAGGCTCTGAGATTAAGTATCTAGAGTGTTTTTCTTTTTAAACCGTGTGTGTGTCTGTGTGTGTGTGTGTGTGTGTGTGAGAGAGAGAGAGAGAGAGAGAGAGAGAGAGAGAGAGAGAGAGAGAGAGAACCCTCAAAGGCCAGAAGAAGATGATAGATCCTTGGAGCTAGAGCTAGTGTTGCAGGCCTATGGGAACCAACCTCTACCTCTCACATTTGAGCAGCAAGTGCTATTACTGCTGAGCCATCTCCCCAACCCCAGGAGTAAATACCTGCATGTAGGTTACATCTAGGAAGAGACACAAAGCCAGGATTTACACTCAGGCAGCTGGATGGGCTTCAGTGTCCTGCTAGTGTGTTTTGTCTTCAGTATCTAGCACATGACTAATCATGCAACATTTCTGAAGTTTGATTGGGAAGCTCTAGGCATACCTTTAACTGCATGTGTATGTAATGAAACAGCTCATCTCTGGTAATTTTTATGACTGGCTGCTTTCCTCTCTTGTAGTTCCTGATTTACGCCAGTTACTTTGCGGCCATCTCTGTGGTTTTCCTGGCTAATGGTGCATTCAGTGCCGTAAAGAAATGCAGAAAGCAGGAAGATCCCAGCTCCAGCCCTCAAGCATCTACTCCCTAACATGCTGCTGAAGTGATGCTGCTTCCAAGCAGGGACTCTGCACAGCAACTGCCTGGATGTATTTAAACTCTTTATGGTTCAGATAAATATTTATGAATGTGTATTTCATGGCTTCAAAACAGCTATTCAGTTAATACCTTGTATTCCAGGAGTGAATATAATACTGCTGAGAGAAGTCAGAACTAAAGTTTTTTCATGGATTATTTATGAGCTTTAATTTAAGAATGACTTTTTCTAATTAGACAAAAAGAAGAAGAATTTGATTTTGAAAACCAAGTAATCAAGACTAATCAAGTGGCCTAGCTTCTGTTTCCTTGATTAGCGCGTGAGTGTGATATCTTATAGTCAACATGGGATCAGGACTTCTGAGACCACAGGCTGTTATAGTCACGGTGGAAGTGTGTGCTGTCAGCACTGGCTCCTATTCCCTTCACTCTAATTTCAGTGTTCCTCATGGGCATGTGTGTCTCTGCAGATGAAAATTGTTCCTCACTGGCAATATTCGCTCCATTTTAATGTTGGGTCCTCTAAGGAGTGGCATTTCTTCTAGTTTTACTTTTTTAATTCATTGTATGAATGTTCTTGGTTCCCATTTTGACCATTGCATATTTTGGGAAACTTTCTTTAGAAGTACATTTTTTGCATTGTTCATATGCTTCCCAGAGAAGCTCATTTCAATAGAAAAGGCAAATTTTAAAGCCTGCTGCTAATCACAAACTCATGGTAGGTTTGCTTGTCTTTAATAATTCAGTATGAAGGACTCTTAATTCCAAGTGAAAAAGTCATTTACAGGTTAGAGATACAGGCAGCCCATTTTATATTTGCGTACCCTTTTATTTCCAAAGTAAAATTAACTCATTTTCTTTGAAACAACTTCATTCCCATATGCTTTTCATGTTATCTTGGCTTTCTTATACAAGTTGAAGATGTCAGTAGGAATTGGATTGTTCTAAGGCCTTTTCATAAACTGAGCCTCTTTTTCATTATTTTATCAGAGCTGGAACTAGATCGACTTGACACCTGCATTCTGGACCTTTAAACCTGCCTTTATTCCTAAGATTAGATCATCTTGAGAGAGTTTAAATTAAAATTTTCTCCATTTCCTCATTACTTGAAAGAAGGTGTTCTATAAGCTAATATTTGTGAGGCCTGAAACTATTTCAAAGCCAACTTTGCTGCCTTATTGTGCAAAGAGTCTAGGTAGGTGCTTTTAACTAGAGTGTTGACTTTTTAAGAACAGAACAACTAAACAGTGTTATTAATATTGAGGCTACAAAATTGGGGCTGGGGTAATGTTCGATAGTAGAGGGCTTGACCACTGTGTGGGAGGAAGACCCTTGCTCAAGCATTAGCACTGAGAAGACAATACTGCAAAACTGACAGTAGAGATGAGGGTAGTAATAGGTCATTTCCGTGCACTTTCCTTTACAGCTAGGGAAAGGGAAAGAACACTGAGAAGAAGAGGGAGAGCTGAGGTCATAGTAGCAAGCTCCAATTTTACGTTTTGGTAACCCTCTCCATACCTTTTCTTTTAGTTCTATAGGAAGTTGATTGTCCAGAAAGTTTTGTGTCTGAGACATTTTATGCTCTTATTTTTAAATATTATGTGTTGTGGTACAATCAAATTGTTCACATTACCAAAGCAATGTCTCCTTGGAATTTAATCTACAACTCGTGGCACCCAATCCAATCCTTCTTACCCGTCTAAATCAAAAATATGTTCACATCTTGCTATGTGGCCATATTTGTAGAATGCTGAACCCAATGTGCTGGTTGTACTGTATGCACTTTTACGAAGAAGTGAAACTAATTTGTTGTACTTTTTATTCAATTCTGTATAGATTATAAAACTATTTTTATTAAATAAATATTTTACAGTATATTTTCCATTTTTACTCAAAATTATTTTGAGTTCATTTTCTAAAGGAGCCTACGTCTTTAAATCTCCTAAGAAGCTTTTCCTAGAACAACATTCATTGAAAGCTGAACCATCTCACCCTCCCAGGTAACCCTGTGTCATTGTGTGAGCGCTCTGTCTCTCTCTCTCACTGCTGTGTGGTCCTTTGCACTCCTGGCTCTGCCACTATGGCCGTGCTGACTGCAGTTCTGGCTTCTCCATGTCTCTCCTGTCTCTTCCTAAAGTGTTCTTCTCTTTAGAAACTGAAACAATCTCCAGTCCCTTTGCTAGCCAAGGAAATTAAAGCCAGGGCTGGAAATCTTCTTTGGAAACTCCCCAGGCTCTTCCTTTAGAAACTGAAACAATCTCCAGTCCCTTTGCTAGCCAAGGAAATTAAAGCCAGGGCTGGAAATCTTCTTTGGAAACTCCCCAGGCTCTTCATTCCACCCCGAATAGTCTGATACCCAGAGAAGCACCTTCATTGCACCAATTGGAAATCAGTCTTCATTGTATACTAAAGATCAAATCAATCTCGTCACCAAGCCAGTCTTATACAGCATCCAAATGAATAGTTTCCTTCTGCAGCCTACCTAGAAAGGCTTTTCATTATCACTAAAGGACAGGGCATCTTTCATGCAAATATTTCAGATATAGTTTTCTGCTACTGTAGTCTCTGCCATGTATCCTCCATATTTATAAGCCTTTGAGCAAGGACTGTGTCTTATTTTTGTCATTTGTTGCAAAGCAGATATCCTGATTTTACACGAATGTTGAATCATACAAATGGTATTTGACAGATACAGCCACCTGATGATACAATAATTAGCTAAATTCCCAAAATATTTTAAAAGAAGGATACCTTCATAAAATGTTAAGATTAAAATGACATTTTTGGGTATACTGGACACTTGAAGATGTTGAGTTTGAATGGTAAAGCTAGATATCTATTTCTTCCGACACCCTTATAGATAATGCCTTCCATTTCTTTAGCATATGCTGTTCTCAGAAGGGTGAACATTACTGATTCTTTAAAGAACCTGTCATAGTGATTGTCCCATTTTCTTCAGAAACACTGCCAGGTGTGTTTTAAGCATTTGCTTTGCGCTCTGCTGAGCTTCTGCTTCCTCATTTGGGAAGCAATGGAAAAACATTTGGAAACAGCTCAGGCACAGGCACTCACTATGTGGTTGAGAAATGAGTTCTATGGCCCTTGTTTTCCATTCACAATTAATTTGTAGCTATCAGTTTCAACACTACTCTCCTACTGAATGTTTTAATGGAAACCAAAATCATTAGACACGATCGATCCATGCTCCACCTTCTGCTTATCATTAATTTGTATTTTTCATTACTTCCTGAAATATACGGGGGGGGGGGGGGAGCTGTAGTTCTTACTGTTAGATCACAGCCACTATAGCTGTCTTTCTTGCCAAAACTCATACAAACCCCTTGCAGCTTGATTGCTAGCCCTCCTAACCCCCCTCCCCATGTTCTGACATAGAATTGATAAAGAAGACATGCTGTGCTGTGATCTTATAAGCCCTCCCTCTTGAGGCTGCAAGATAAGTTTATGGTCCTGCCTAGCACCTGCCGCCAAGCTCTCTGGCCTTTGTGCTAGGCCAGGCTAGATCATGTGATGTGATGCTTGCTTACTCCCTTGAAACCTCTTAAGAATCAGAAACCCCCTTTGTTTTCTGGAACTGAAGGATCTGCAACTCCCATCATTACGGTCATTTAATGAGGTTTGCTAGAGATGGGGATGGTAAGTAATGAGGAAGTTCACCTATAAGGAATGTTATCTGGCAGCAGGGTTAATCTTTGAGTAGCTACCAAGATTGCAGCAGTAGAAACAGGGAAAGAGGAGTGGCTTTAGATTAGTAAATTAGCATCCTACAATATATGCTCATATTTCAAAGTGGCTTAGGAAATTTAAGTATTTTCCCCCAAATTACACATACTGAAGTAGATTCTTGTTCCCTCCCAAATCCCATAAATTGGGGGGAAATGCAGAATGCCAGGCTGGGGAAAAGCAAATGTCTGCTAATACACTGAGGTTTTGAACACATCCGGAAGAGAAAATGGGTAGCTGGCAGAGAAGTGAGCAGCACTGGGGTCCAGGTAATGTGGGTGAAGTGAGACAAAGTTACCCAAATCCCCACTCTCATTGTCAAGTCCCTGCAATCCAGGCTAGCAGCTGGAGATCAGAGCATATCATCTGGCATGCAGTGAAACTCGGGTTCTGTCCTGTGTCTACTCATTAGTGGCTCATGGCCTCTCTCCTACTCTAGGCCTTTTTTTACCTCACTCCCCTGTGGGGATTCTGACTACCTATGGAAGCAAAAACCCTCCAGCCATCCAGGGCAGCTGGGCTTCAGGAAGTCTGTTAATAAAGCTCCAGAAATGAGTCAAATTGGGTTTCTGAAACTTCCAAAACCCACATCGGATCTCTGAGTAAAGGAAATTTTTGGTGAATGTTGGGTATACACCTCTAGTATTTTAAACCTTAATAGTATGAATACATAGATGGGAACCACCCTACAATATCATTTCTTATCATATTGTCTTCTATTAAAATAAGTCAGTCGGGGTGGTGGGAGACAATAGACACTTCCAAACTATAATCTTACCCACTTTAAAAAAAAAATCACAAGAATCATAACATAAAAAAGTCATCCCACTGCTCAAATATTTGAAGTTCCCAAGTTTTCTCACTTGTTTATTGGGCTTGCATCGTCTTCCTCTCTCCCTCTTTTAAATACCAAACTGGAGAACTAACTTCAGCTGTTCTTGGAGTACTGACAAGAATGGACTCTGATGTTGCTGCAGTTTCTTTCCAGCCTATAGAGTTAGCTAGTGGCAAACTCCATTCTCTGATCCCCCCAACCCCAGACAGGCTTTATTTGTGCAAGCAAGATGTCAACACATTTTGAGATCTAGGTCAGCACCTGGACCAAGAAACCTGATAGTGGCATCTTGCTTGTATCTTGTGCTTAGATGAACAAGAGGCTATGTCTGGAGGTTGTGTTTACAATGAGAAACCAAGCAACCAAGAAAAGATCTTGCAGCTCTGACTTAACTCCTGCTCTGGCTTTGGATCCTCAATACCCCCATACAGATATTTTTTCTGCATTTCAGGCTCATTGCCTGGGGTAGAAACCATTTCATGCTTACCCAAAGTTATGCCTTCAAAAACAGATATGACTATGTTGGTGAGCATTAGTGGTGCATGCTTGTAACCCCACCATTTAAGAGGCAGAGTCAAGAAGGTGGCCACAAATTCATGGCCAGCCAGTCTCTAAAGTAAGGTCTAGGCTCTCCAAGGGTAGAGAGTGTGCCATGTACCAGAAGGTAGGCAGGCTGACAGGGAAAAGTCAACCATTAACCCAGGAATAAACAGCTTTGTTTTGGAATGAGAACAGGCAAAAGAGATCCTGAGAATGAAAAACATGAGCTGCAGATTTGGAACTGTTTCAAGAACATGTGAGTTGGTTCCACAGGGAAAGGGGACATCAAACACAGCAAGTTGAATAAGGTTATGAGAGGCAGCGCACAGGCTACAGATGTCAGAGTGGATGAAGCCCACTACAACAGGGTGATTCAACATCTGCAACATTCGAATTGCAGACATCGATCCCTTTCTTTTGGAGCTTGTGAGATTAGGAGCAGAGAAACATGTCCTCAGGATGCAGGGAGGGACAGGGCTTTATGGTTTTTAAAATATCTACTGTTAGTGCCCAAAAGAGCTGGAGAAAGTTTCAGGGAGAGGGTGAAAAGTGAGAAATGTAGAGGGCCTGCTGAAGGGGGGGAGGGTTTGGGAGGGATAAAAATCCGAGAGGTGAACTTGGGGGCAGTGTTTCCATGGTTACAAGCTGATATCTTGTTCCTTTTCCACAAGCTCCTTGCTGAGTCAAAACACAGAGGAAACAACCAGATTCTGTCCTCTCTGCTGGGGGTAGGGTGGGGGTCCTGGAGGATCTGTGTTTGTGTTTTAGACCAAGAAATGTTGTACAAAAGTCCACCAGCTTATAAAATCTCATTAGGTGCTGTATTGCAGAAAATATTGGCTTGCTGCTGGCTGTTTCAGATAAACCAGATTGTGATGTCTAATTATTTCAGAAACATCCAAACAATTATAATGGAAACATAACCTCATCACTAATTCAAACACCTTTAATAAACACGTTTGATCCTTGGATAGAGCAGGTATTTATTGTTAAAGAGTGATCAGTCTGCTGATACTCCTATCATAGCATTTCTTTCCAAAATTTCAATCCTTTTTCATATTTGTTTCACATCAACTATATGTTTAGTCCAAAAAAAAATTAAAAACAGAGACTACATTCAAGAATAGCTACATTCACCCAAGATTGAGTGCTCAGAAATTTGTAACTCTTAGTATTTCTATTTCCACTCTACACGTAAGTGGTTTTATTTTCTCTTATGTTCTGTAGGATTGAAATGCATGTCTCCATTGAAAGTGCAGTGTAGTATTACTGACTCTCTTCCATTTGCATATCCTCAATAGTTCACTAAGACTCCAAAGATCAGTGGTCTTGATTCTTGTTATATTTGACCTGTCGGCTTCATCTGGTACAGCTGGGTAGCTCTCCTTTTCAAAGAAAGCCTATAAACCTTTTTATTAGCATACATAAAGTGTATAAAATAATGGCTTTCATTATGACATTTCATACAGCATATTATGTACTTCAGCATGTTCATGTCCCATTATTGTTTCTTACCTTGCTCCCTCCCACAGTCATTGGTCCCCCTTCCTCCTCTCAAATAGCTCCCTTCTACTTTCATGGTTTTTTCTTTTACTTAAGTCCAGGTTCTACATGAGAGAAAATATGTTATATTTATCTTCCTGAGTCTGTCTTACTCTACTAGTAGATGACTTCCAGTTCTACCCATTTCCCAGCAAATAATGTAATTTTGTTCCTCTTTCTGCCTGAAAAAAAAAAAAAAAAACTCATTGTGAATATATG